GCCAATAGGACAACTTGTTCCTATAAATCAGTCTGAGAATAAAAATGTGTAAATATTATCAGGTGAAACTGGAAATATCGCGGAAAACGCTGGTTATAACCGTTAAATATAAATATGAATTGTCTTGTCCGTGATGATTGCAGTGTTGTAAAATAAGTGAGACAGAGTTTTTTTTAATGAAAGCTAGCCGCCGACACAAGCTTGTCCATATTTTATTTGGCTACATTTCATTCCATTGGTTCAATATGTCACTGCTGCATACCCATATTATCCTCGGGTCGTTTTGCAAGAGACTTCAGTAAAAGAAACATGAATTACTGTCGTGATGAAAAAATAAGTATTGCACAGTGTCCTGTCCGGTTTCAAGTACATTAATTTAAAGTGGAACAAAAATGATACAATCCTAAACATCTTACCGTAATAGTGTCGCCTGCGGTGGTCCCACGGGATGCAGCACAGCCAATAATTCATGCGATATATGGACTGACAGTCCATGCGAAGTCTCACGGTCCCGTTACCGGCGCACTGTTCCCGGTCCCTCCAATGTCCGATCCTTTACTGACTGCAGTAGTAGCCACTTGCCAGGACAGAAGCAGATGCTCAGAGATGGCTCGAGCACCGGCTCCACTCAAGCTGTTCTCTCATCTTATATTAACTCTTTCGTCACCTCAATGAACAGTGGCTTAAACAGTGAGCAACGCTCAGAGCTAAGTCGTGTTCAGTAGGGAGAAACGTTTTGAAACTGAATGAGAGTGGAAAGGAAAGGGGGATACCTAGTCAGTTGCACAACTGAATGCATTCAACCGAAATGGGTCTTCCGCATTTAACCCAACCCCTCTGAATCAGAGAGATTCGGGGGCTGCTTTAATCGACATCCAAGTCATTGGTTCCCGGGGAGCAGTTATTGTTGGGGGTTAACTGCCTTGCGGGCGCGGACTCGGGGATTCAAACAAGCGAACTTTCGATTACTGGCCAGACGCTCTTAACCGCTAAACTACCCGAGGTATAGTGCTACCGGAACTTGTCCAATTAGAACAGGTTTAGTTTCAATCTTCCGTTGTGAATCGTTTTGCTACAGTGTGCCCTACAGAACAGGACCCAGGCCTTTCTACCCCAGGCAGCCAATTTGTCATGAGATAATCAGACGACAGAGCAGATCCTTTTTATGGCCACTAACCTCCCTGGACCCTGACCTGAGGTATTATTGATTGATATGATTTATTTTAGTGTCATACACCTACTACTAAACATAGTACCAATTTTCTTGTACTCAAAACATTTTTTACATTTATTTTTTATTTTTTTTTACAAATTGTACAAATATACAATCATCGTATAGCCACAAATTGTACATTTATCCTTCTCCTCCAGGCATTGTGAACCAACGGAGCAATCTCAAACACCCTGTCGGTCCGAAACAAATGTTAAGCCTTTGCTCGTCCCTTAACCAGAATACTTTAGGTTAGCACCAGAAATGTAAAAAATAAAGAAAAAAATTATATGTCTCAAATCGCCATACAGAGGGCAATTAAACACTAGATCACACAGTAGGCAAATTCTCTCATCTTCAGGCACTCTTGTTAAATGTACCCGAATCTATAGCCAGAGGGAGGGTGCCGGATCTGAGTTGTGCACAAACTGACCCATTGTCTTTTTGTTAGCCTCAGTTTATTAGGTACACCCATCTAGTACCGGGTCGGACCCCCTTTGTCTCCAGAACAGCCTGAATGGTTGCACCTGGCCAGCAACAATGTTCAGATACGCTGTAGCATTCAAACGTTGCTCAATTTGTATCAAGAGACCTAACGTATGCTAGAAAAACATTCCCCATACCAGAAGGCTACACCACCGCCATGGATCCATAGACTCATGCTGGATTCATGCGGTTTACGCCAAATCCTGACTCTGCCATCAGCATGACGCAACAGGAACCGGGATTCATTTTTTCTTGTGGATCAGAAAAAACTTGACCTTGATTTGGTTAACACCACATGGTAATTTGTTCCTGAATATATACTGCAAATCAGTTTCACAAAAAAATGATAATTCTCTAGCACACGGATAGTTATGAGCAATGTTCCCTGTAATTTTCTCGGCACTGAGCAAATTTTACGTCTGCTGAGCACAAACTTAAACATTGTGAAAATTCTGTGCAACTTCCGGCGCGCGTTTACTGTGAACACAGAGGCTGTACCCGCTTTAAGTTACAGTTTTAACAGTGACCATGTAGGCTACTGTGGCTATTTGATCATAATGTAGGACTACCAGAGTGGCCTACCATCAAAAACAATGGAGAAAATGCATCCCATAACATTTGAACATGGAAATATCATATCATGCAGCCTACAGTAGCATCCAATGTGTGGTGTTCAATGTAGGCCTACATTCCATGCAGTGTTGCCAACTCCTCAGTAAGGAAAGTAGCTATTGGCTGTCCTAAAAGTCGCTAGAAGACGCTAAATGACGTCATAACCTAATTTGCATAATTGGCCATGTGCATGTAATTGTGATGGACGCTGTAGGAGATAGGAATAATATCGTGGGAGAGACAAAAAGTGAATAAAAAACACCCTACATTTACATCCCGCCCTGAATGTAGGGCGGGATCAGCAAGCGGCGGCTTCCCGCATGCGCGATTCATTTGCAGTCTGGACGCGGAGGGGTGAACATCTCCTGCTCTGACTGCAGCTGGGAGGGACTGCTGTGCGAGGACTGGGCCGCCTGTGAGTGCTTTGGGACGGGGGTAACAAAGCACCCGCTGCTCGTTGAGAAGAGTAAGAACGATACATGCTTTCACGTCAGAGTCTCCAAAAGTCTCCAATAACACCAGACAAAAAAAAGGCTCTTAACCTGACTTGCTTTTCAATGTATGTTTTGTGCTCTTGTAGGAAGCAATTATATATAACTGGGCTAATAACTCACTAACTAGCAAAGGATATTAACAAAATTTGCACACTACATGCAGCTCTCGCTTTGATCTCAAAACAAGCGCATCTACTCAAGACTGCTAATGCTGTAAACACAGTCCAGTTCAAAGTAAATGGCACAGATCTATATATGGCAATGGTCTACTTGCATATAGGCCTCCTGCAGCTCTGATTGTTTATGCCGCACCGGTCTGTGTAGAGTACGGCTGAGTAGTGCGGCTGAGAATCTTACTCCGATGCGTTCTGCCTACAACCAAATCTGTTGCATAGTTTGTTTTGTTTTCGGTATGTTGCATTAAAAGTGGCTAATATTGAGTCACAAGTGCCAGAGTAAAGGGAAACGTTGATAGTGTTAACAGGGAAAACTCTAGAACAGTGGTCACCAACCTTTTCTGAGTCAAGATCTCTTTGTCAAAATGCAAGCCGAGATCTACCGCTCAGATATTTTTTTAACATGACTTAAAAAACGTAAACCTATGCAACATTAACATTTTAGTCATTTAGCAGACGCTCTTATCCAGAGCGACATACAGTTAGTGAGTGCATACATTTTCATACTGGCCCTCCGTGGGAATCGAAGCCACAACCCTGGCGTTGCAAACGCCATGCTCTACCAACTGAGCTACACGGGACCTATTAACCAATTAAAAACAGTACTGTAGCAATGAGGTTTGTGCAGTAAGCTACAGGCCCAATACATTAACACCGCATATTGGCTTTGCTTGAAATGCCCTGCCAATGCATTGTTGTTTGGGCCATTCAAGAAAAAGAAAAAAAAAACACTGGTAGTAGATCCATTATTGTATTACTTGTGAAGCCCAGCTGAGTGAGCATACATTTAAATAATTTGCTTTTTATATTAGTCATCTGAGCCATCCTATTGGCCAGCTGTAACACTATAGTGCACTTGATTTGCTCTCTGGGCCCGCCGGGAAGACAGAGTTTGTGCCTTCAGACACATTAAATGGTTCAAAATACCAACAATTCGCCTACCCGGCCCACAGGGCAACTGAATCGGTTGCACCTACAGGCAACAGCCCTAGACAAAAAATAAATAAATAGGAACACAAGGCTTTATCGTAGTGTTTTTGACAGAAATGTTTGGCGATCGACTAGGAATGCCTTGGGGATCGACCTGTCGATCACGATCAACGTGTTGGTGACCACTGCTCTAGAAAGTGTGAGTGAAGTTCAATCTCATGCTTCTTCTTTTATTTTGTATTCTTTCTGTGGGCTGATATTTCTGCGTGGCAGTCTCGGTGCTACTGCACGCGCTCAGCTTAGAGAGAACATTGGTGATGAGTAAGGTCCCAGTCTAACACATTTTTATCAATTCTGTGTTCTGGCATATTTAAAATATGAATATTTTAGTTTTCCGCTGTGTGAACAGTTCATGATATCAGGTGTTAAAAGCAGAGGTACCTCACTAATTATAGTCACTTTACAAGAGAATGCAGAGTTTAGCTTTTCATTTCATTTCACAGAGAAGCTTGAATTACAACCTCATCTCTACAACTGTCAAAGACAGAACCTCTGTCTTTCTCCTTCACACAGACAAATGAGACATTAGGTGACCTCCAAGGCAACATTGATTTAGGAGGGGGCAGGGCTAGACCTCTGGTAGTAGTATGTATTCCACTTGGCAGACACAGGACTCGTCATTAGCATTGATTTGACTTCACCAGGTAAAAACGGCTCTTATGGAATTGACCCATACCCTGAACCTGACATACTGCCTGGTCTCGAAAACAGTCTGTCATCGATAGAACCTGGGTGACCTCTAAGTGGGTTAGGAGAGAGGGGGCAAAACCTCGAACAGTTGTATATCAGTTAACACAAGCATTGACATCACCACCACTGACAGCACCTCATAGGGATCTGTCCCAAATGTCATCATATTCCATGTATAGTGCACTACTTTTGACTAGAACCCTGTGAGCCCTATGTAGTACACTACTTTTGACCAGAGCCATGGTCAAAACAAGTGCACTATATAGGGTTTAGGGTGCCATTTGGGACGCTATCTAGGAGTTCCAGAACCAGAACAGTAATCCCACACAAGGCGAAAAAAATCTATTATCATTTTAATTACATCATTGAAGCATAGATGCATTACTTGTGAAAAAGGTAGAAAAAACAGCATGTTTCAGTCTTTCTCAATAAGTTAAACCTCTGGCCAAATAGGGTCGGGTCTGCTCACAAAACAGAACCCTCGAGAAGATTTCAAAATAATAAAATAAAAATAAAAAAGGAAGTATACTTACGTCATTGAAATTAATGTTCATCTCCTTGTCATATGTTTAATAAACATGTTAAAAAAAGATGCAAGTGGCTTATATTACAATACAGACAGTCCTTCTTTCACCCTTTTCCACAGGGGTTTTCCACACAACAACGCAAGCAGTTTTCATGAAACTTTAAGTTTCATAGTTTTTTTTATTATTATCAACAATTAAACTTAAGCTTCGGGTTATAGTTGGTAAAAAAATGAAAACAAAAAGAAACAAAATAATAATTACAGTAATGACAGTAATAACAAGAAAGGTTAAGTTATAAACACAGTCCTGTACAGTCAGGCAGTCTTCTGATAGGCCACAGCCTTAGTTCTATTCCTTCCATTCCCAAAGACGATTGGTTGGTTGGTCTTTGACAGTTTGCAGGCTCATGCTGATTGTGTGAGATGGTGGCCAATCAATGATGGTGCTGCGGCCTCCAGCCCTGCTCCACTCAAATCCCCCCCAACTCCATCTCTGGATGTGGAAAAATGCCTTCCCATTTCATTTACCTGGGGTAAGAAAACACAAGAAGAGGGTTGAGACTTGACTATGTCTTATAATCCACTATATGATTCTACTGCTACTGCACAATACTGTATTATTTAACACACTGTAAATGGATTACTTTTGGAATATCTAGTATTTTATAAACCCATATGGACAAGGCATCTTCATATATAATATAATATATTATACCACAGCATTGCTGAATACTTGTTTCTGATTGGCTAGAAGGCATTCTAGAATGGACATTTAAAACCAGATAATGTGACAGTTGGAAAAGATATCGGGGGACCTTGAAATCATGATGCAATATGCGCCTACACATGCAGACTGTACTTGCTACAAAGTTACAGAAAGCTTAACCAACAACTACACAAACCCAAATTGGATACATTATAAACGCAGGCCAATGAGGAAAAACTTACTGCCAGAAATTATTCATACCCCTTGACTTATTCCACATTCAAAATTATGAAAGAAAATGTTTTCTCTCACCCATCTACACACAATACCTCATAATGACAAAGTGAAAACATGTTTTTAGAAATGTTGGCTAATTTATTGAAAATTAAATACAGAAATATTCCATTTACATAGGTATTCACACCCATGAGTCAATACTTTGTAGAAGCACCTTTGACAACGATTACAGCTGTGTGTCTTTCTGGGTAGATTCTAGCCTAGCGGTTGATATGCAATGTGATCTCCTTGTAATGATCAGTGTCGAGTGTCCTGAGAAGGCAAACTTTTCTAGCTATGCCAGGCAAAATCGGGCATCATCAGCTCATTGTTATGGATGTATCCAAATGAATGTCAATAGAAAACAGCTTAAACAAACGCAAATGCAGCTACTTTGCTGTAATTCTGGCTGCAGAGGTCATGACTGTGTTAGCCGTAGCTAGTTGGCTAGATAGCAAGCAAGGGACAAGAACGTTGCCAGCGAGTAAGGCAACGGAACATATAGAACGAACAACTGGGTCGCATCCATAAATATCGAACAAACTTCTCTAGCAGCAAAAAGATGAGAAAGTATAAATTGTCTTATAAAAATATCAACCAAAAAAATTATACCGGTAAATGTGTGCTTTAGTATTGTTTTCTTTGGCAACTGTGGTGTAAGCTGGATAAACGCCTCCGTTCTGTACATTACCTTGGAAAGATGAACTCCGCAAAGGGTAATGTACAGCACGTCTGCGTCTATCCCCTACATAATATGCTATTATCCAAAGCAACTTACAGTCACGCGTGAGTACATTTTACGTCAAATCAATCAATCAGCCATCAATCAATGAATCCTTGAATGAGAGGTTTCCTACCTTGTACGAAGGCTGTAGTGAGGTCCCTGCTGTGGTCAGTCAGTCCAGTTCATGTACCTCGTCCTGCTGCATCGGGGCAGAGGTGGTCCTGCCTGGCTCAGCTGTTCTCTTTGCCATGATGTCCCACTGTGGGGCTTTGGGCTTTGTTCCTAGCACAGGAGAGAGGGATATTAATACACACACAGTCGCACACACACACACACACACACACACACACACACACACACACACACACACAGCAAATGCACACAGCCACACTATGTAGTCTATCTTTAAGCCTTTGGTGCATTCATAACTTATGCTGATGGAGCGGCAGCCATAAAATATGACCTATCCTGCCCCCTTGTGGTCTATGTCGAACTGCATGTTCATGTCTGCCGTGTCTCTGCCCTGCGCTTCAGGACATCCACTCTACCCAGTGACAAACTTCCTGTCCCAAACCCCAACCCTGAGGACAGAAATACATTGCTACAGACACAGACAATTACAGACACAGACTACTACAGACAATTGTGTAAACAGGACTATAATCCAACTGATCTGTTCACACAACATATCAATCAGATGTTGTAGCCTATACATGTTATTAATGTAGTAGTGCAGTCTGTGATGTGAAAGAGTTTCTTTAACCTCAGAGGATGTTTCCAAAACAAAGGAGAGAAAGACATGGAGTGCCGGTCAGAATAGTCAGACAGCACGTATCCATGGAGACTTGGCTCCCGTCCAAACTCCAAACCCAGAGAAGATGTCTGTAGCTACTAGCTAGTCTGCCCTGCAGAACTATACTAGAACACACAGTACAACCACTCAGTGTAGGTAGCGCCTCTCTCTCACACACATATATATGCTCCTCCTTTCTGAACAGAACATGGACATAGTCCCTAGTGAGTGTGGTCTGGTCCAGGAGAGGATGAGGGTTATTACCGGTGACCCTCTAGTCTCAGATAGCTCCTGGCTACCATTCCATTCCATTACCATGACAACACCCACCATAGCCTGGAGCTATATAAACCAGAGGGAGAGAAACCAGCATTCACTACAACCTACTGAGATGGATATACAGAGAGAGAGAGAGAGAGGGAGAGGGAGAGGTGGGGGAGGGGAGAGGTGGGGGAGGGGTAGGAGAGGGGAGAAAGGGAGAGGTGGGGGAGGGGGAGAGGTGGGGAGGGGAGGGTTGGAGAAAAGGGAGAGTTGGGGGAGGGGTGGGAGAGGGGAGAGAAAGGGAGATGTGGGGGAGGGGAGGAGAAAGGAAGAGGTGGGGAGGGGGTGGGAGAGGGGAGAAAGGGAGAGGTGGGGGAGGGGAGGGGGGGAGAAAGGGAGAGGTGGGGGAGGGGAGGGGTGGAGAAAGGAAGAGGTGGGGAGGGTTGGAGAAAGGGAGAGGTGGGGGAGGGGAGGGGTGGAGAAAGGAAGAGGTGGGGAGGGTTGGAGAAAGGGAGAGGTGGGGGAGGGAGAGGTGGAGAAAGATGAGTTGGAGAAAGGAAGGGGTGGGGGGGGAGGCCATGACCACACTGTCTTCATCTACATCCTACCTGTCTGCCATGACCACACTGTCTTCATCTACATCCTACCTGTCTGCCATGACCACACTGTCTTCCATCTACATCCTACCTGTCTGCAATGACCACACTGTCTTCCATCTACATCCTACCTGTCTGCCATGACCACACTGTCTTCCATCTACATCCTACCTGTCTGCCATGACCACACTGTCTTCCATCTACATCCTACCTGTCTGCCATGACCACACTGTCTTCATCTACATCCTACCTGTCTGCCATGACCACACTGTCTTCCATCTACATCCTACCTGTCTGCCATGACCACACTGTCTTCCATCTACATCCCCCCTGTCTGCCATGACCACACTGTCTTCATCTACATCCTACCTGTCTGCCATGACCACACTGTCTTCCATCTACATCCTACCTGTCTGCCATGACCACACTGTCTTCCATCTACATCCTACCTGTCTGCCATGACCACACTGTCTTCCATCTACATCATCCTCCCTGCTCCAACCCCTCTCTACCTCTGACCCTCTCCTCTGTCTCTCACCGTCCATGCCGTTGTGCTGCTCGTAGGTGCGTTTGCCCAGGATGGTGGGTGATCCATTGTTGAGGATGTTGGGCGTCGACTTGATGGGTGTCAGGCTGCCCATGGTGACGGTCTGGCCGCGTGGGGGGTCAGGTTTGGGAGGGCACGGGTGGGCCTCTGGGCACGGGAGAGGGAGGGGAGAGAGAGCGAGCGAGAGAGAGAGGAAGGAAGAGAAAATAGGAAGATGTTTGAGTTTAATCAGCAAATCATGAATTTCAAATCAACACTGGCTAAAACAGACTATTATATTTAATATATGCCATTTATCAGACTGAAAATGTGAGACTTCTCTACAGATGGGTGAGATAGATTCCCACCAAGATATCGGACCACTGACTCCAGAGGCTTCCTGTCAACCGGCTTCAGCGGCAATGGCATTTTGGGCTCGTCTGGCAACCGTAGTGCACCTGGAAAACACCACAGCACAGGGTTAGTATGTGTGTCACATTTCAGTAGCCAGTTACATAAGACAGCCACTGAGACCTTTTTAAAATGTTACAACAGAAAAGGAAAAAATTGACATTTCTTTTTGGACTATTACAGGTAGTCTCTCCCTGTTTTACTCAGTTTTCCTACATTTGGTGCTGCCTTAATAACCAGGACCCAGGTCTACTCAGTACTCTCACTAGGCCTGGATTTGAGCGTGTGTTGAGTGGGAGGTAGAGGGGAGGTGGAGGTGGAGTGAGGGGGGAGGAATAGGGGTGGAGGAGTAGAGGATGGGGGTGGAGGAGTAGAGGAGAGGAGTAGAGGATAGGGGTGGAGGAGTAGAGGATAGGGGTGGAGGAGTAGAGGATAGGGGTGGAGGAGTAGAGGATGAGGTTGGGTGGAGGAGTAGAGGATAGGGGTGGAGGAGTAGAGGATAGGGGGGGGAGAGGAGGGGTGGAGGGAGTAGAGGATAGGGGTGGAGGAGTAGAGGAGTAGAGGATGGGGGTGGAGGAGTAGAGGATAGGGGTGGAGGAGTAGAGGATTGGTAGAGGATAGGGGTTGAGGGGTGGAGGATAGGGGTGGAGGGGTGGAGGATAGGGGTGGAGGATAGGGTGGAGGAGAGTAAAGGATAGGGGTAGAGGATATGGGTGGAGGAGTAGAGGATAGGGGTAGAGGATATGGGTGGAGAGGTGGAGGAGTAGAGGACAGGGGTGGAGGAGTAGAGGATAGGGGTGGAGGAGTAGAGGATAGGGGGTGGAGGAGTAGAGGATAGGGGTGGAGGATAGGGGGTGGAGGAGTAGAGGATAGGGGTAGAGGTGTAGTATGTTAAGACAGCCACTGAGACCTTTTAAAACATTTTACAACAGAAAAGGAAAAAATTGACATTTTTTTTGGACTATTACAGGTAGTCTCTCCCTGTTTTACTCAGTTTTCCTACATTTGGTGCTGCCTTAATAACCAGGACCCAGGTCTACTCAGTACTCTCACTAGGCCTGGATTTGAGCTGTGTTGAGGGGGAGGTAGGGGGGAGGTAGGAGTGGAGGGGGGAGGATAGGGGTGGAGGAGTAGAGGACAGGGGTGGAGGAGTAGAGGATAGGGGTGGAGGAGTAGAGGATAGGGGTGGAGGAGTAGAGGATAGGGGTGGAGGAGTAGAGGATAGGGGTGGAGGAGTAGAGGATAGGGGTGGAGGAGTAGAGGATAGGGGTGGAGGAGTAGAGGATAGGGGTGGAGGAGTAGAGGATAGGGGTGGAGGAGTAGAGGATGGGGTGGAGGAGTAGAGGATAGGGGTGGAGGGGTGGAGGATAGGGGTGGAGGGGTGTAGGTAGAGGTGTAGTATGTTACTCACATTCTTGTTTGATTTGGGCTGTGTTGAGGGGGAGGTAGGGGTGCCTGGCGAGGAAGCGTGGTCTGATGATGTCCTGACAGACGCGTCGGGCGGCGCGTGTCACCCGAGTGGTCATCAGGTAGAAGGCCTGTTTCGTCTTTACAGCAAACTTGGGGCTCCCGCTGTGACGCATGGGAACACCATGGGGAGACTGGGGAGGAGGGGAGGAGGGGAGGAGGGGAGGAGGGGAGGGAGAGAGAAAGTAGAGAGACAGAGTGAGAAGGGAGAGAGAATGAGAAGGAAGAGGAGGAGAAATAGGAGGAGGAGGAAGAGAGAAGAGCCAGAGGAGAAAGCGTTAGAGAATGGACAACAATCAGACAAGAGAGGAGTCCAAGTCAAAGGGTTGTAGGTTGACATTTAGGAGCGCCAGGAGTTTCTCCTGCTCAGTTGGCATTACCTGGGAAAACCTTCTGATCCTAATCATATCTCAGTTCGCATTACCTGGGAAAACCTTCTGATCCTAATCATGATATCTCAGTTTGTTGTTGTTGTTGTTGTTTACCATGTTGTTGCGGTTGGGTCCAGGCCTCTCTCCTTCCAGTCTTGTTGGCATCTTCAGTCCTCCATACTTCTTCCAGTAGGTCCAGCAGGAGGCACACAGACGACACTGCATGTTGGGGGGACCCCACGAGTACCACTGGTACGAGCTGATGGCTAAACACACAGAGAGAGAGAGACAGAGACACACACACAGACACACATGCACACACACGCAGAGACACGTGCACATACACAGAGTTAGTGACATTCTTTAATCATTTAAGACTGAATTAATTAACACTAAAATAGCTCTTGACTAGATTCTACTGCAGAGTGAGCTGAGCTCACTCACTCACTCCATTGTTAAAGGACAGCCATAGAGGCAATGGCTTGGAGCCTTACTACAGTATGGAATGGAGATCATCCAAGGAAACAGGACAGGAGTGATTTTCACGATGTCATAGGTTGGGTGAAGTGGTCAGCACAGCCACCTCCAGACTACACATTGTACCCATTCATTGCCCCGTTGTGCCAGTTTCTACACTGTGTGTGTGTGTGTGTGTGTGTGTGTGTGTGTGTGTGTGTGTGTGTCTGTCCCTGTGTGTGTGTGTGTCTCTCTACCTATCCCTCACTCTCAATTCCATGCGCTTTAAATGAAGCAAAAACACTGGGTGTGGGGGGAGTGGTACTCACTGTAGCAGCTCTCGCAGGCCCGGCCCAGTCCTGGGGTCTGTCCTGGGGGCACTGGGACCACCCCCGGAGCTCCAGGCACACCCCCAGCTCCGACTGTGGCTCCAGCTGTGGCTCCGGAGCCGTTCACTAGGCCTCCCACAACGCCAGGCTTCACACTGTTCACACTGTTAGCACTCAGCTGGTTGGGGTTGGGCTTGTTGCTATGAGGAAGTGGGCAGAGGATTCTCAGAAATGCAACATACTGCAGCTTGTCCCATTAAGCAATATGGTGGAAGCTCCACCACTACACAGCTGATGCCTATACAGAGCCTTCCGACCTGCAGACTTCAAAAGAGTTAACATTAGAGCTAATTAGGACCTGCTGTCTCAGTCTATCGGAGACGCTGTAGATACTCACTAGTTAGGGATGTAGACCTGCTTCAACTTGCTCTCTGCCTCTGCTGCTTTTAACCGTTTCTGCTGTACGTATCTGTCTGTGGTCTTCCACATGTAGTAGTACTCTATGATACTGGTCAGGGACTTCCAGGGCAGCTGCAGTGGAGGACGAGAGAGACAACAGTCTCAACATAACATCTTCATCATTATCATCATGCTTTTAAAAAAGGCACCACTTTATTTTTTATATTTCTCTACATTATTTTCTATTCAATGCAATCTTCGTAATGAAATATTTAAGACCGCTCTCCTTAAAAGTTTGAAAAAGGCAACTGAATTGTCAGATCGCCAGAGCTAGCAGGCCCCACCCCTAATGGCAGCGCGTGTGGTGAAGAAGGTGCAACAGAGCCTCTTCAACCTCAGGAGGCTGAAGTAATTTGGCTAAAACCCTCAAACTTTTACAGATGCACAATTGAGAGCATCCTGTCGGGCTGTATCCCCGCCTAGTACGGCAACTGCACTGCCCGCAACCGCAGGGCTCTCCAGAGGGTGGTGCGGTCTGCCGAACGCATTACCGGGGGAAAACTACCCGCCCTCCAGGACACCTACAGCACCGATGTCACAGGAAGGCCCAAAAAATAATCAAGGACATTAACCACCCGAGCCACTGCCTGTTCACCCCGCTATCATCCAGAAGGCGAGGTCAGTACAGGTGCATCAAAGCTGGGACCGAGAGAATGAAAAACAGCTTCTATCTCAAGGCCATCAGACTGTTAAATAGCTATCACTAGCACATTAGAGGCTGCTGCTGCCTATTGAAATCACTGGCAACTTTAAGAAATGGAACACTAGTCACTTTAATAATGTTTACATATCTTGCACTACTCATCTCATATGTATATACTGTATTCTATAATATTCCACTGTATCTTAGTCCATGCCGCTCTGTCATTGCTTGTCCGTATATGTACAGTGAGGGAAAAAAATATTTGATCCCCTGCTGATGTTGTACGTTTGCCCACTGACAAAGAAATGATCAGTCTATAATTTTAATGGTAGGTTTATTTGAACAGTGAGAGACAGAATAACAACAAAAAAATCCAGAAAAACGCATGTCAAAAATGTTATAAATTGATTTGCATTTTAATGAGGGAAATAAGTATTTGACCCCCTCTCAATCAGAAAGATTTCTGGCTCCCAGGTGTCTTTTATACAGGTAGCGAGCTGAGATTAGGAGCACACTCTTAAAGGGAGTGCTCCTAATCTCAGTTTGTTACCTGTATAAAAGACACCTGTCCACAGAAGCAATCAATCAATCAGATTCCAAACTCTCCACCATGGCCAAGACCAAAGAGCTCTCCAAGGATGTCAGGGACAAGATTGTAGACCTACACAAGGCTGGAATGGGCTACAAGACCATCGCCAAGCAGCTTGGTGAGAAGGTGACAACAGTTGGTGCGATTATTCGCAAATGGAAGAAACACAAAATAACTGTCAATCTTCCTCGGCCTGGGGCTCCATGCAAGATCTCACCTCGTGGAGTTGCAATGATCATGAGAATGGTGAGGAATCAGCCCAGAACTACACGGGAGGATCTTGTCAATGATCTCAAGGCAGCTGGGACCATAGTCACCAAGAAAATAATTGGTAACACAATACGCCGTAAAGGACTGAAATCCTGCAGCGCCCGCAAGGTCCCCCTGCTCAAGAAAGCACATATACAGGGCCGTCTGAAGTTTGCCAGTGAACTTCTGAATGATTCAGAGGAGAACTGGGTGAAAGTGTTGTGGTCAGATGAGACCAAAATCGAGCTCTTTGGCATCAACTCAACTCGCCGTGTTTGGAAGAGGAGGAATGCTGCCTATAACCCCAAGAACACCATCCCCACCGTCAAACATGGTGGTGGAAACATTATGCTTTGGGGGTGTTTTTCTGCTAAGGGGACAGGTCACTTCACCGCATCAAAGGGACGATGGATGGGGCCATGTACCGTCAAATCTTGGGTGAGAACCTCCTTCCCTCAGCAGGGGCAATGGGTCGTGGATGGGTATTCCAGCATGACAATGACCCAAAACACACAGCCAAGGCAACAAAGGAGTGGCTCAAGAAGAAGCACATTAAGGTCCTGGAGTGGCCTAGCCAGTCTCCAGACCTTAATCCCATAGAAAATCTGTGGAGGGAGCTGAATGTTCGAGTTGCCAAACGTCAGCCTCGAAACCCTAATGACTTGGAGAAGATCTGCAAAGAGGAGTGGAACAAAATCCCTCCTGAGATGTGTGCAAACCTCGTGGCCAACTACAAGAAACGTCTGACCTCTGTGATTGCCAACAAGGGTTTTGCCACCAAGTACTAAGTCATGTTTTGCAGAGGGTTCAAATCAATTTATAACATTTTTGACATGCGTTTTTCTGGATTTTTTTGTTGTTATTCTGTCACTCACTGTTCAAATAAACCTACACTTAAAATTATAGACTGATCATTTCTTTGTCAGTGGGCAAACATACAAAATCAGCAGGGGATCAAAAACTTTTTTCCCTCACTGTATATATTCTTAAATTCCATTCCTTACTTAGATTTGTGTGTATTGGGTATATGTTGTGAAATTGTTAGATATTACTTGTTAGATATTACTGCACTGTCGGAGCTAGAAGCCCAAGCATTTCGCTACACCCGCAATAATATCTGGTAAACACGTGTATGTGACATACATTTAGATTTGATTTGATTTGGTGTGCTGGGGCTGTGGGCTTCAGTAGAGTAGAGAACTGCACTGACAGTAACCCACCACCAGGTGGCACAGTGAGGCACAGTGTAAAGATTGCAGAACCCTCGTTCATTCCTTCCCCTCAGAGCAACAGCAGCATAGATACAACTGGCTGAGAGAGATAGATACAACTGACTGAGAGAGATATAGCCATACAGTCTCTCTCTATGGCTGAGAGATACACTACATTACCAAAAGTATGTGGACACCTGCTCGTCGAACATCTCATTCCAAAATCATGGGCATTAATATGGAGTTGGTCCCAACTTCGCTGCTATAACAGCCTCCACTCTTCTGGGAAGGCTTTCCACTAGATGTTGGAACATTGCTGCAGGGACTTGCTTCCATTCAGCCACAAGAGCATTAGTGAGGTCGGGCACTGATGTTGGGCGATTAGGCTTGGCTCACAGTCGGCGTTCCAATTCATCCCAAAGGTGTTCGATGGTGTTGAGGTCAGGGCTCTGTGCAGGCCAGTCAAGTTCTTCCACACCAATCTCGACAAACCATTTCTGTATGGACCTCGCTTTGTGCACGGGGGCATTGTCATGCTGAAACAGGAAAGGGCCTTCCCCAAACTGTTGCCACAAAGTTTGAAGCACAGAATCGTCTAGAATGTCATTGTATGCTGTAGCATTAAGATTTTCCTTCACTGGAACTAAGGGGCCTAGCCCGAACCATGAAAAACAGCCCCAGACCATTACTCCTCCTCCACCAAACTTTACAGTTGGCACTATGCATTTGGGCAGGTAGTGTTCTCCTGGCATCCGCCAAACCCAGATTGGTCCGTCGGACTGCCAAATGGTGAAGCGTGATTCAACACTCCAGAGAACAGGGTTTCCACTGCTCCAGAGTTACACCACTCCAGCCGACGCTTGGCATTACGCATGGTGATCTTAGGCTTGTGTGCGGCTGCTCAGCCATGGAAACCCATTTCATTAAGCTCCCGACTAACAGTTCTTGTGCTGACGTTGCTTCCAGAGGAACTCGCTATTGAGTGTTGCAACTGAGGAGATCATTTTTACGTGCTACGCGATTCAGAACTCGGCGGTCCCGTTCTGTGATCTTGTGTGACCTACCGTTCACGACTGAGCCGTTGTTGCTCCTAGACGTATCCACTTCACAATAACAGCACTAACAGTTGACCAGGGAAGCTCTAGCAGGTCAGAAATGTGATGAACTGACTTGTTGGAAAGGTGTCACCCTATGATGGTGCCACGTTGAAAGTCACTGAGCTCTTCAGTAAGGCCATTCTACTGCCAATGTTTGTCTATGGAGATTGCATGGCTGTTTGCTCGATTTTATACACCTGTCAGCAACGGGTGTGTCTGAAATAGTCGAATCCACAAATTTGAAGGGGTTGTCCACATGCATTTGTATATATAGTGTATCTCTATGGCTGAGAGAGATATATTCAGTGGTGTAGGGGACGGTATGTACAGTTGAAGTCGGAGGTTTACATACACCTTAGCCAAATACATTTAAACTCAGTTTTTCACAATTCCTGACATTTAATCCTAGTAAAGATTCCCTGTCTTAGGTCAGTTAGGATCACCACTTTATTTTAAGAATATGAAATGTCATAATAATAGTAGAGAGAATTATTTATTTCAGCTTTTATTTCTTTCATCACATTCCCAGTGGGTCAGAAGTTTACATACACTCAATTAGTATTTGGTAGCATTGCCTTTAAATTGTTAAACGTTTCGGGTAGCCTTCCACAAGCTTCCCACAATAAGTTGGTTGAATTTTGGCCCATTCCTCCTGACAGAGCTGGTGTAACTGAGTCAGGTTTGTAGGCCTGCTTTTTCAGTTCTGCCCACACATTTTCTATAGGGTTGAGGTCAGGGCTTTGTGATGGCCACTCCAATACCTTGACTTTGTTGTCCTTAAGCCATTTTGCCACAACTTTGGAAGTATGCTTGGGGTCATTGTCCATTTGGAAGACCCATTTGCAACCAAGCTTTAACTTCCTGACTGATATCTTGAGATGTTGCTTCTATATATCCACATATTTTCCTTCTTCATGATGCCATCTATTTGCACCACTCCCTCCTGCAGCAAAGCACCCACACAGCATGATGCTGCCACCCCCGTGCTTCACGGTTGGGATGGTGTTCTTCGGCTTGCAAGCGTCCACCTTTTTCCTCCAAACATAACGATGGTCATTATGGCCAAACAGTTCTATTTTTGTTTCATCAGACCAGAGGACATTTCTCCAAAAAGTACGATATTTGTCCCCATGTGCAGTTGCAAACCGTAGTCTGGCTTTTTTAAGGCGGTTTTGGAGTAGTGGCATCTTCCTTGCTGAGCGTCCTTTCAGGTTATGTTGATATAGGACTCGTTTCACTGTGAATATAGATACTGTTGTACCTGTTTCCTCCAGCATCTTCAC